ATTAATAAAAAAGAATTGTTTTATTGCTTCTTTTTCAACATCTTTTCTGCCAAATACTCCATTTCCTTTTTATTTTTGCTAAAAATTCTGAGACAAGTTGAATAATAATAGCAAGCATCCCAATATAAGTCCTATAATTTTTATAGTTTCTGTATTTTACCAATTAGAGTTATATTTTGTATTTTTTTAGAATATTGTCTTTATTACTATAAGGGGTATATTTGGAGCTTATGTTAGAGTAAGACTGCCAAAGTTTGCCAAATATTTTTCAGAATTTAATTATAAAATCGTATTTGTCTCTTTCAATGTATTAATCTAATGGACTGTGTTGACAAGTGTCCTGATTTTTTAAAACCTGAAATACATTCCATTTTTTCTATGCTTAGGGAATTTAGTGATACACTGCTTAAGTATCATAGATATATGCTACTATCAAATATACACTAATTTTTTAACACTTTCTGCATCTGTAGTTCCAAATTAGATCAGAGCACAATTTTCTTTTTCTTTTTCTTTTCTCTACTGTTTTGATGGCGGTGGTGGTGGTGGTGAGGTAGGAGGTACTATCTTAACACATTTTAAGTTTTATTTATGCCATGTTTATAATATGGATTAGGGAAATTTATGTTCCTATGATGATAATAGTATAAATTATATTGGAATTATGTGTTCTTTAAAGTAAACTATACCTCAGTTCTAAAGTGAGCATGTCCTTATCCATTTTAGGAGCATATAGACTTTTATTTACTTTTTGAATATTTTCTTGATTAACTATCTTATCATGTTTTTCTCATTTTCTTGAACAAATTCTGGTTTTACTGGTATATGATTTATTTCCTCTACATTTTTATGTTTGTTCCAATAATGTTACATGTAGTACACTTTTTATAGAGTTTTTTTTCGGGGGGGGGGCTATGATTATTTATCATTTCTCATGTCATATTTTTTTGTTCTCTCTTTCCCTTAATAAGTCTTATAGGAAGTTCACCTATTTTGCAATGATTTTCAAACTTTGTTTAAGAAAAATCTTATCCTTTCTCTAACTTAAATTAATTTAATTAGTTTTAGCTTTAGTTTCTTTGATTACATTCTTGTATTCTTTAATAATTAAACCATTTACAGTTATAAACTTTCATCTGGATACAGCTTTTTGCTGTATTCTATAGGTTTTAATATGATAGATTCTACAGTTTCTAGCTATATTTTAGAGTTTTCATTTCTTTAGACCAAGTATTATATAAAAGTATCTTAATTCTTGGGTCATTAAGACTTATGAGTCATGTTTCAAAACTGGATTTCTGATTGTTTTGGCTCAATATTGAAAAATAAAAGACCCTATAAAACCTCTACTTAGAAATGTTTGTTAAGGTAATAATAAAATAATTTTTAAATATTTTATAGACATTAAATGTTTATCCCTTAATGGGAATGAGTTTTTTATATATGCCTTGTCAAATTTTATTACAGTATTCAATTTCACTACATACTTGCTTATTTTTTATTTACAAATGACATTGTTTAAGACTTTTCTTCTATTCCAATCTATAATTACCCTAGTAAAAATTGCTCTACGGTCTACTTAAAATTTTTCAGATGACCCTCCAAATTACCTTATTTTCTCCTTTAAAATACTTTTGAAGGATTTTTAACCTGAAAAGGGGGGTAAATAAAATTACAGAATGACATCATATTAGTGGTCTTTGTAGGAATGTCTTAGTCTGGTTTCTTCCTGCAGGAAAATTTAGGGTTTTTTTCAGGTTACATTAAAGAAAAACAAAAAAAATACTTTTTTAAGCTTTATTCTGTCCCTCAGTCAATGACATAGTATACAAAAATTTATATGTAGATTCATACCTGTCCCGTCATGGTGCATATTCTTTAGGACAGACCGCTTTGTTTTAAAGGAACTGTGTCACTTTCCTTAGTGTGTAACATTAAAAATACATTAAAACTTGATAATAATTTTCTCATTTGTTAATCATTTTTCCTCGCTAATAAAATGAATCCAACCATGTTTAGTAAGATCGATTTTGAAAAACAATAATCCCAAAACTAAACTATCGATATCAGACACGTTTATAGCAAACCAAAAATTGGGAACTTCTTGAAAATACTAAAATAGACTTACAAAACTGGAAGTCTCTCTCTCTCTGTCCGTATACTGTAGATGACATGCTAAAATCCAACATTCCTGCCTAATGATCCCACACATTCCTTGCAGACTCTTTAGGAGCTCTTGTTGCTTCCAGCTTTTATTGACTTAAAGGTCACTATAATTTGGGTGCCAGTAAGTTATGTTAGATTCTGAGATTCTGAAACAGGTTATATTTAATATAAGGTAAAGTAGTTTAACTGACTGTAATGAGGTATGACAACCATATTGACTACTCTGCAAAGAATATACATCATTGCAATAGTAATGGGACAAGCCACCCAATTAATTAGTAGCAAATTGGACAGATTGCTTTGGAAGTTTTCCAAGAGAGAAAGTGCTTCAGGTGCTTTGCTTCAAAAGCAAGGCAAATCAGCTTTCTTAATCCTCCTGGACAGAAAATGATTTCATTTTTAATTTTTAAATTGTATGTGCCAGAATCAAAGGCAGAATTGCAAGATACAGTAGAACTAAGATGTTTATGTAAAAAAAAAAAAAAGGTGTGGTGACCTAATGATCATCATGATTTTTAAAGAAAGCTATTTCAGTGTTTCTTATACCTGTGGATTATAATGGAAATATCATAACTTCACAATTTATAAAATGTTTTCATCTATTACTCATTTGATCCTTACACAGATTTCCAAGATGTTATCTTTACCCATTTTACAATGAGGAAATTGAAGTCCTGGAATGTCAAACAATGTACTCCTCCCAGAGCTAGTACATCATCAGAGTTATTGCAAGGCGGTCTCTTACTTTCCATCACTGCCAGCACAGCATAGTGTACACCACGGTGCTCCCACATGTTAGCTTTTCTGATGCACCTTCCTTTTCCATGTACTGGTATAGAAACAATAGAGAACTTAGCCATGGCAGAAATGTTAACCTGTGCCTGTTTGTTTATTTCAATGCATGACCTTCTAATTGGAGAAAATAAAGCCAATCCATTTCACGTTAAAAGTTCCTTTGAAGTACTAAATAATCAAGCAGATGCTTTTCCCCCATTCAACTGGTGGATGCCGGTAGAGAGTGTGAAAATAATATTCCTGTTATAACTCTATGGTAAACTCACACAATTGTAAAGTGAGTCTGGCCTTTCTTGTTTTATATCAAAACACCACGAAGTCCCATATAGTTTGAAAAATTAAGTAATCCTATGCAAAATTAAATTTCTTATTTTGCTTGATTCCTGGGGAAGCACCTTTCAATTTTAGTTCTTAATCATGTCCTCAAATATCATGTAAATATAGAAAACATAAAAAAAAACCACTGCTACCAGTCTCTCCCAAAGCCTAATATATTATGTGACTCTGTTCTACACAATAATGTGTCAGAATCCTAAATTTCACTGAGAAGGAAAGATGGATTGATTTTGTTTTCTAGTCTCTAGAAGAGTAGTTGGGATGTCAGTAGAAAAGTGCCTCTCTCCATCACCAGTGGAGCTAATCAGGAAAAAATGTCTGCGGTAGCATACACATTAATCTCCAGCTGGAGCATCGGGCTGTTACGAGGTGTAACTAACCGTATCGTTGTGACTCATCTCGGTCTGTAATAACATGCTCCACAGTGACATCAGTGGTTGTATGAGATGGATGTTGCATGTAAAGAAAAAGGTATTGTTAAGCTGGAATATTTGTAAGCCTGCACATGTTACAGTGACAGTTTGCAGTGAATGCAGCCACTGTTTTTCTGCAATAACACATCTGCCATATCCTGTTATCACTGTGTTTCTAAATCTGTCTCAAGTAGTCATCATGGGACAATTTCAGCTCCACGGATTGTTATAACAACTTAGTTCTCAAAAATGACCTCTGTCAAAATGCATTGCAGTTGCCTACTCAGGCCCACTATGGGGCTGAGTCCAGAAGTTCAAAAGAAAAAAATTCTTACACAGGTAAATTATTTCAGTGGCAATGTCATTTCAGATCCTTTATAAAGTTTTAGTATTCAGAATTGATTCTTCCAGCAACATTTTCTCTATAGAAGGAGAGGTGCACATTGATCTTTTATCTCTTTCTACATGTAAAATGCATAATGCTTATAAACTGATTTTTCCAGTCAATTATCCACCAGCACATAATTGGCAGAGTATAAAAGCAGCTATATAATTTTCAGGAACACAATGTCTCTGGGCTTTAAATGAGAGGGCCCAGCTACTTAAGGTTTATTTCTACTTTAAAATTGTATGACTTTTTAAAAAACATTTATTCAAAAGGTTTTTTAATGTCTCTTTTCCACTAAATAAAAAATTCTTTAAGAGGAAAGAACTGAGGATATAAATATTTACAAAAGTTTTAAATTTTAATTTAAAAATATATAACCAGAAGTATCTTAATTTTTAAAAAGCCAATGTTTTAATTTTGATGTAAAATAACAAAAATAATTTAAAAATGCATTTTTAGAAGAATACAAAGTAGATGTAGATACCACATACCCAGCACAGAATATTTAATGACACTGAAAACCAGAATTTATTCAGCATTTCCTAGTTGTGAGGGCAAAAGGGGAAATAGTATATTACACTTTTGCTGTCTAATTTTAGTTCAAAGAATTTCATTATTTTTTCTAGAGAAATAATTATTTCCTGGAAACAAATATCACTTCTAACCTGATTAATAGTCAGATGCTAATTGAAGCATTTTTAAAAGTACACTAATTTGTATTAGATAAATATAATTTCATAAAAGAAAAACATTCTGTGTAAGCAATTAGTACATCTCTCAGTCAAAACAACATAGAGACCACTCACAACTTTCCCTGTGCTGTGGTTTCTCTTCTCAGTGGTATAGTATGGTGAAAGTGCCATACCTTCTTTTAATCCATCTTTCTAATTTTATTTTTTCAGAATGAAAAATCCCCAGGGCGATCTGCAAGTCGATCAAGTAACATTTCTAAAGTAGGTGAAATGTACTCATTTTCTTGTTTGTTTAATTCTATGCTTCATGATTTCACATACATGTTTATAATGCTTAACCTATAATTGTTATCTGTGAGGAGAACACAAATGTGACTTGTTCATGGTTTCAACTATTTTAAGATTTTACTGTAATAAAAATACATGATTTTACACAAGAAAATAAGTTAAGCTATTTTTTTCTTTTTCCATGTTGTGTAGAAGAGGTAATTTGCTACTTTCTGTTTTTTTGTTTTTTTTTTTTTCTTTCTTTCTTGAGACAGAGTCTCACTCTGTTGCCCAGGCTGGAGTGCAATGGTGAGATCTTGGCTCACTGCAACCTCCACCTCCCAGGTTCAAGCAATTCTGCCTCAGCCTCCTGAGTAACTGGGATTACAGGTGCCCATCACCATACCCAGCTAATTTTTGCATTTTTAGTAGAGATAATGTTTCACCATGTTGGCCAGGGTGTTCTTGAACTGAGCTCAAGTGATCTGCCCACCTCAGCCTCCCAAAGTACTGGGATTACAGGCATGAGCCACCATGACTGGGCAATTTGCTACTCGCATAGTGTCATGTAAAGTATATTCTTTCTCTTGTTTCAAACACCATAAATCTGCCATATATTCAAGTTGAAACTATATCAACATTGATGGTATAATTCTCGTGAATTTAATTGTTCTGGAGTTTGAGCTGAACTCTGTGGGGATTTAACTATCTTTGTCACCAAGGCAAGTTTAGAAATCAATTTAATAAAAACATCAGTTTGGTCATATTTAGTTTGTAGAATCAGTGGACAATAAAACAAAATAGTCCCTAGATCATATATAAATCTAAGTAGGGCACCAGAGTGTTGAAAAGATTATTGTTTGAGAGACATACTCTAGATTTTATGTTGCCTAAAAGACAAGATGTAAGGGCTATTCTTTAAAATGAGTCACCATGTGATATATACACCTGGTGCTTGGGAAGCGAAAAGTAATTTAGAGTCATTTGTCAAAATGGAAAATAGTGACTTTCAAAAATATAATTAGAAGCAAGATGGATTTGTCATGATTAGAGCTTCCATTTCAGGCTTCCCACTTGCCAGGACCTTTCCACATTCCTAAAATTAACTTTGTATTAGTAATTTTATATTACTTACTTTCAAGAGGATCCCCAAAATAGTAATCATCTTCAGGCATTACAGAAAGTAGATCAACATCCAATTTAGAGAAGTTGTTTTCTTCTCTTCTGTTTTCAGAAACAAAAGGTTTTACAGCTCATTAAGAAGAAAGTTGTGACCACAGTATCAACATTATCTTATGCTGGTTTCCAAATCCCAGTTTTGTCAAGAAATGCCAATGGTCAGATGACATCTGCACACACACTGGGATTTATAGGAGCAGACCCTACTATGTTTTTAAGAATAAACATTCCTGCCCATTCCTCCACAGGGAGACATGTCTCTGTCTTGCAACATCATCCACTATACTAACATTCTTTAGGATAGTCTAGTATCAGTCAATGTGTTTGCTTGCAAGACATGCAGAGATGTGAGGGACACATAGAGAACTGTACCTCAGTCAGTGCTTGGTACTGAACATTTCTAATTATATTCAAATCTATGTCCCTTCAGAGATATTTGAGAGGCCATGAGGCCTACTGGTTAAGAGCACTAACTCTGAAGAGTAAGGATCTGAGTGAAAGTCACCACTCTGTCACTTCCTACTATCATGACCCTGAGATGTTCACTTTACCTTCCTGAGACACAGTTGCCTCCTTTATGACATAGGGATGATGATAATATCAGTCACCTGAAGGAGGTTTTCTTAAGTGGTTATAAATTAAAATAGTGCCTTTCAAATGTCTATCACCCTAGTTTCACAATGAAGAGCCTTGCCCAAAACTACAGAACTCTGTCACCTTCCTCAACTTGAATACTAATGTTGAATACGTAAGGACCTAAAAACTTGGAAACAGTACTGACAACGCCTTTGTTAGACCAAATACTTTTCATGATCCAGGGGTGAAATTATATCTGCATTTCTAAACTGCTCTTTGAGTTTTACTTAATGCAGTTTGTTTATAATGTTTTAGTCTTTTATGTTTTAAGAAATAGAAAAATCAAGAGTGTAGTTTCCCTTCTATGAGTTCTTCTTCAGGGTCTAGTATGTATCAATTGTACTTCTGTGTGGGAGACAACTAATTACAAAAATGTATCCTATTCAGAAAGAAATGAAAAACTCTATTCTTAAGCATCACTTAAACTGTACCACAAAAACACCACCATCAGACAGTGGTAGGAATGAACAGATTTCAGAGCACACGAGTTTACCTATTTAAACCAATTTAACTTTCCCATTATGTTCACAATGAGTCACAATGTTAATACGTTGTTGAGTTCTCACTCCTTTTTCATAAATTGATAAGTGAAAAATTATTTATTGACTACATCATCTATCAATCATGAAATGGCCAAATCTAGAAATACTTAGTCTTTAATTTGGAAAGTATTGGAGAAGAAAACTTTTAACATTGGAGCAAAGATTTTTTTTTCCTTAATTTTATCAAAATAATTTTTTATGTTGAAGACAGAGCATTTCTAGGGTATAAGAATCAGTACATAGCGCATGCCTGTAATCCCAGCTACTGAGGAGGCTGAGGCAGGAGAATTGCCTGAACCCAGGAGGCGGAGGTTGCGGTGAGCCGAGATCACACCATTGCACTCCAGCCTGGGTAACAAGAGCGAAATTCCGTCTAAAAAAAAAAAAAAAAAAAAAAAAAGAATCAGTACAATGGAGTGATTGGATGGATAGCAGAGTAGCTCTTAGGAATCTTAGGAAGGTTTAACATCCCTAATGACTTTGTAAAAGGAGCATATATACATATATTAGTATCTACCTCTTACAGTACTGCTTATAACAGTGCTTGGCCTGTATTAGCTATTTTTATTATGGGGTTCTTAATATTTCTATATCAGTGACAGCTTCAAACGAGTGCTCAGTAAACATCTTTTGAAGTAAGTAAATTGGAGACATGGTCTATAATATATGCAATGTTTTATAGGTATAATAATAAAATGCAGAGTGGGCTGGCTTAAGGAAGATGTTAGTGATCTGAGGTTATTGTCCTGAAAAAATTGCATATTTCTATTTCCAAAAAAAGTGTACATATATTTGACGATAATAAACTGTCTTATGTCAGTAATAGTGTTATTCATAATGGGTTTGTTACTTTTTATCTGCTTATGCCATCTTCTGTCCTTAGACACAGGAAAATCACAGACAGTACAGAGGACTCCATCCATAATGGAATGGAAAAACTGTCCTTTGTATTTCTAAGTCTGCTTTTCTGCCTATTTCTTGCAGTTATTTAATGAATCAAACTTTCTCATTGGCAATATTTGTTGAGTGTCACGTATCAAAAATATTTCTCTATACAGGGAATTATGGAATAATAATAAAAAAGTTTCCTTCCCCAGTTCTCAGTGAGCTTACAGTGAAATTGTATAACTAACAATGCATAGAATTGTTAACATAACAGACCTGAGACTCCTATTCTGAGAAAAGCCTGCAGCAAGATTACCCTTGGCTGACATCTGGAAACTTAGATTCCATAGGTAGTGCTTCACCCGGCCTGTTAAAAATGATTCGCTGTGCCTGAACTGCAAACAATACAGCTATCCTAAGCACATGCCTTCCTTCTGGGAGTCTGGAGTCTTGGTACATGTGCTTGCCTACACACTCAGCCCCCAGTAATAACTTTGAGCACGGAGTCTCTTATGAGCTGCCCTGGTGGCAACACTCTTCACATGTGTCGTCAAACTCACTGAGCACATCCCAGCACACCCACTGGATGAACTTTTGGAAGCTTGCTTCTACTTCCCTCTGGACTTCACTCCATCACTCCCTGTGCCTTTTTCCTTTGCTGATTTTGCCTTGTATCCTTTCTTAGTAATAAATCATAGCCATAAATATGGATAGATGCTGTCATGAGTTCTCCCAGAAAGTCTGAACCTGGGTGTGGTAAATGGAACCCCTGATATGCTACCTAAATAAGAAGTATAAACAGAGGGTATGGGAATTCGGAGAGCCATCACTTCCATCTAATTGGGACAGGATAGCAGCAAAGAAGGTTTCTTAGAAGAATGGTATGTAAATAGACACTTGAAGAATGGGTGTTAATTGATCAGCTGTCAGGGAAGGCTGTTAAAGGGTTATAAGTTCAAGGCTAGAAAACACATTATAAGGAAGAAGTTACATAAAATACTTTGAAAGGGTTTTTGAGAGGGAACTTTAAATAATAGAATGCATTATCTTTAGTCATTCAAGTCATACAACCTCAATCTGTGTGAGACTGTCAAGCTGAATAAGTTTGACAACACATGTTAAGTAATATCACCTACCAGGGGAGCTCATGAGAGACTCGGTGCTCAACACTAGTCATTCAACTGTTATCTGGCTTAGAAACAGAGAAATAGATCTAGAACCCATCAAGGTCCTTCAGACTTTTCTTAGCAGGTATGTATAAAATGGAACATTATTATTTTTGCCATTCAGGATTGTTCCTTATAAACATGGTCTTGCCATTGTGAAAGTAAAAAATTTCCAAACATGAGATAAATAATAAATGTGCAATTTTTAGTGAACATCAAAAATTATATCTCCTAAGTTTTTACTTCTGGATCTTTGTACAATATATTATTCAACAGCAATTATACTTTGAGTTTTCTGGTCCTTGCAACATTTAGTTTCTTATTATTTTATATTTCTAGTTTGTCTTAGTAAATATAAGACAGTTACACGTATGATTCTTTCTTTCTCTTTTATTTTTAATTCAAGTAAGGCTGGTATGCCTTGGATATGTTAAAGTTGAAAGTTGATCCAAAAGCTACAGAGAAGCTATATAGGTTTAATACAGTATATGTGAGATTATGAAACTATCTTGGATGTGAAAAAAGCAGCATTCATTTACCCATAACTTAATTTTTAATACTTTTTTGATATTAGTGCTTGTTACTG